AGTTGTCTATATTCACCAATGTTGTCCTAAAAATTTTTCAAGGTTCCAACTAATCGGGAAACAAATCTGATCAAAACTGTGTTCATCGTAACATTGAGATGAAAGTTTAATTCAACGAATCCCCATGCTAAGAATTCTTGAAATCTTAAGGGCCATTTTGAAGGAGGAACATCATCAATGGTAAAAACTGAGAATTTTGATGTTGAATGAGGAGCATGTGATTATTGTGGAGGAGGGTGTTGTTCAGCATCCATTGCATCAGGGTTATGGACTTCTGGAGTATCATCTGGAACTTCAACTGTTGGTTCTGTCATGAAAATTTGAGAGAGCATCATTTCATCTGAGTCATCAGTATCATCTGTTTCAATTGATTCATCTGATTTGACAGTATCTATGTAAGATTCAGTCTCAAAGGTAGAGGAAAAAATATCTTCAATAGAGAACTGAGGAAGGTTGTCTTGTGCCATCTGATGAAGTATTTCTGGAAAAGTTTATGTAGGAGAAATCATGAGTTGTACAGGTTTTTGGTTTGGTTGTGGTGTAGGGTTTTGAGGTGTGAAACTTGAACTTGGTTTTGGTTTTGAATGTTGAGAAAGTGGTTGTTCTGCTACTCTTTTGGGTTTTGGATCAACTGGTTGTTTTTCTCGAAATCTGTGAATCCATTTTTTAGTTGTACCAAAAAAGGGTTGGTCTAATTGATCTGAGAGAGGAGTGAAGTATTGTGTTGGTTATGAGGATGTTGGAATAGATGTTGAGAGAGGTTTATACTGAAAAGATATGAAAAAAGGTTTATGATGTGAGGTTGGAGAATTGTATGGTTAAAATGGAAGAGGAGTATAGGCTTGGTAAGGAGTATCATGCATACCAGTGTGATATGGTGTGAAGATGTTGTAACTCGAAGCTATTTGTTATTGTTATTGTTTCTGACGAAACTGATTTTGAAAGTCTGCAAGTTGAATCTTTAGGCTCTTCATTTTTTTCTCTCGTTCAGTAAAAGCATAAGTGATTCCAGTGTTGGTTTCAGCCATGTATCTGAGTTCTTGATCAAGTGTGATTATCCTTGACTAAATTTCAAAAATAATATTTTTGAGATTGACAAGGCTCTGATCAAAGTTTTGACTGACTTGGTCCAACTTATGTTCAATTTTGTACAGGTATGAATTCTGTTGGAGAGAATTTTTAGTCTGCCAGTTTAAAACTGCTTCAGCACGAGAAACACTTTTTTGGTTTCCATATTCATCTCTGTCAGTGGGAGTGGGGATTTTTGCAATGTGTTTGTATTGGTCTTTATGAAATTCTTCAAAATGAGGGAAATTTGAGCTGGGATAGGTTGGTTGCATCATGGAGATTTGTGGTAAAGGTTTGGGTAAAGGTTGGGTGGAATTTTGGGTGGAATCTGGATTTTGTGTAGGTTGATTTGAGTAGGTTTGAGGGTGTGGTTTGTCTTTCTTAGGATAGATGACATAATAGTCAAACTTTTCTGAGGGTGCACCAAGAAGATCAACTTTAGGGTCTCCATTTTTATATCTTTCTTTGAGCTTTTGCTGAGAAGACTTTTTCTTCTTTTGCTTTTTTGGAATATCATCATCATCATCCATGAAGCTTTTATCTGCATCTATCTGGCATTCTTTGCATCGACAATTTATGTCCCAATAGCAATGTCCTTTTGGAGATCTATATGCATACACGAGATTTTCATTTGACTGAAAGTGTGTGACTGGAACATCAAAGAGATCAGCATGACATCTTTGCATCATAAATTATGTTGAAAAGATTATTGGAGGTGGAACATCATTTCCTTTGCTATGATCAAATTCAATTGTGATAGTATGTGTGTAATCTGTTCAGACATGTATGTGTGTAATCCCTACTCTCTGTACAAATCTATCTTTCTCTATGCTCATGAGTACAAGCTCTTGTTAAAAAGACTCTGTAAAATCAACAACCTCCCAATCCTTACAGAACTTTCTCCTTTCAAGAAAGAACCATGGTAGTGGTACCCTCCAGAATACATCCAAGAATTACACATTCACCTGGCACATTGGATTCCTGAACCACCTTATGACACTTGGTGGAGTGATTTTATCATAAAGACTTGTTAATTTTGATCTTCACTGTCTTTCAAAATTAGCAGAACTTTCAACAAATCCTTACTGGCAGAATGATGAAGATCTCTCCAGACTTCGAGCAAGATTTGAACACAGAGTTTACAATCACTTATTCCAATGTTGTGATTCTACTCCTGATGATTTTGAACAAAAGCTATTTAGGTGGGTAGATGATTGTCTCGTTCTCCAGTACCTTGAAGATTTTCCAGAAGATTTCTTAGAATGATGACACTTATGGTGCTACCAGACAGAAGATTCTCAGTTTCAGTCCAATACTGTATAATTACGTGTGCTATTTTTAGTTTTCTCTAGAAGACTCCACAAAAGTTGATAATGATGCCTTCACATCAAGACAACCTTATGTCAAGTCTTCATTAACTTTATGTCTTAGTCAAGTCATAATGAGTCATTGTACTTTAGTATAAGTCATAGTGCTTAGTCACTGTACCATAAGTGATGAGTCACTATATCATAATAATGAACCTTTGTACCATAGTTATGAGTCATTATACCTTAGTTATGACTCACCGTCCTTTAGTCTTATCCTAAGTCACTTGTAAAATTACTTTATCCTAGTCTTATCTTATTAGGCTACTAGTCCTTTACTTTTTTCATGTATAAATAGCATGATACTTCTCTAAGAAGTAATCATTTGTTTCAACTGATTCATCTGATTTGACAGTATCCATGTAAGATTCAGTCTCAAAGGTAGAGAGAAACATATCTTTAATAGAGAACTAAGGAAGGTTGTCTTATGCCATCTGGTGAAGTATTTCTAGAAGGGTTTGTGTAGAAGAAATCATGAGTTGTACAGGTTTTTGGTTTGGTTGTGGTGTAGGGTTTTGAGGTGTGGAACTTGAACTTGGTTTTGGTTTTGAAGGTTGAGAAAGTGGTTGTTTTGCTACTCTTTTGGGTTTTGGATCAACTGGTTATTTTTTTCAAAATTTGTGAATCCATTTTTCAGTTATATCGAAAGGGGGTTGGTCTGATTGATCTGAGAGAGGAGTGAAGTATTGTGTTGGTTGTGAGGATGTTGGAATAGATGTTGAGGGGTTTGTACTGAAAAGGTGTGAAAAAAGATTTTGAAGGTGAGGTTGGAAGATTGTATGGTTGAAATGAATGAGGAGTATAGGCTTGGTAAGGAGTATCATGCATACCAGTATGATATGGTGTGAAGATGTTGTAACTTGAAGCTGCTTGTTGTTGTTGTTGTTTCTGACGAAATTGATTTTGAAGGTCTGCAAGTTGAATCTTTAGGCTCTTCATTTCTTTCTCTCGTTCAGTGAAAGCATAAGTGATTCCAGTGTTGGTTTCAGCCATGTATCTGAGTTCTTAATCAAGTGTGATTATCCTTGACTGAATTTCAAGAATAATATTTTAGAGATTGACAAGGCTTTGATCAAAGTGTTGACTGACTTGGTCCAACTTATGTTCAATTCTGTGCAGGTATGAATTCTGCTGGAGAGAATTTTTAGTCTGCCAGTTTAAAACTGCTTCAACACGAGAAATACTTTTTTAGTTTCCATATTCATTTCTGTCAGTGGGAGTGAGGATTTTTGGAATGTGTTTGTATTGGTCTTTATGAAATTCTTCAAAATGAGGGAAATTTGAGCTGGGATAGGTTGGTTGCATCATGGAGATTTGTGGTAAAGGTTGGGTGGAATTTTGGGTGGAATCTGAGTTTTGTGTAGGTTGATTTGAGTAGGTTTGAGGGTGTGGTTTGTCTTTCTTAGGATAGATGACATAATAGTCAAACTTTCCTGAGGGTGCACCAAGGAGATCAACTTCAGGGTCTCCATTTTCATATCTTTCTTTGAGCTTTTACTGAGAAGACTTTTTTTTCTTTTGCTTCTTTGGAATATCATCATCATCCATGAAGCTTTTATCTGCATCTATCTAGCATTTTTTGCATCGACAATTTATGTCCCAATAGCAATGTCCTTCTGAAGATCTATATGCATACACGAGATTTTTATTTGACTGAAAGTGTGTGACTGAAACATCAAGGAGATCAGCATGACATCTTTGCATCATAAATTATGTTGGAAAGATTGTTGGAGGAGGAACATCCTTTCTTTTGCTGTGATCAAATTCAATTATGACAGTACCATCCTGATTGGTCTTGTAAGTTGGATCAAAGTGTTCGATTGGTTCATCTTGCTTCCAAATCTTTTGATAACTTGTCGTCCACGTCTTTGGGAGAAGGGTGGCAAGTTCTTTATTGGAAATTTGCTTTGAAATATGAACATGTTTAGGAGTTTTGTCTGCTGTTTCTATTTTAACAAAAATTGCATCACTGGAGTGTGAAAGAGGCAAGTTAATGGCATGATCTTAAACTCTGTATGCCATCTGATAGTGAAGGGTTGCCTGGAGGTCTTTCATTTCTGTGCCTACGATCTGGACTTGAACTTTTAAAGTATCTAACAGGGTTGGATCATGAAGAGACATATTGTAATTTGGAAAGACTGTGAAGAAGACAGTTCCTGCATTGAGTGTCGTCTCGATGATTCCAAGGACTGCATGCTTGTAATATTTAAATCTGGTGTCCAATAAAGCCATTCTGGTACAGACAGGAATTCTATTTCTGCCATGGAAGGTTAAAGCGATTCCGACAGCACCAAAGTTGAGTGTATCCTTGTTCTGACCACTGGTGAAAAAATTCTTCTGGGATCTGAAGAGTAACAAAGTGCCCTTGAGGTCTTGCTGGAAGAATACATTGATCAAAGTTTGTGGCTTGAACATACTCTTTTGGAGCTGGATATTTGGGTTTTAAAAGAGTTTTTAAAGATCTAGTAAGAGAAGGGGAGGAGTTTGATAAAGCTGTATAAGAATTTACAAGATGTAGAACTGTTTGTTGGATTTTTTTTTCTTCTGGAATATAATCTACTTCATATAAGAACTTAAGCTTAGAAGAAGAGGACTTTTTAAGTACATGAGATGGAAGAGAGGATAAACTAAAAGAAGATCTAGAGGAAGAAGGTTGAGAACTAGAGTTACTAAGAGTGGATAGATCCATGAAAATAATACTCTCTTTTGGCTTTTCCTTTTCCAATTTCAATAATCAAAACTTTAGAAACATGCTTTTCTTCTCACTATCTTGGCAAGTTGCAAGGCCTGATACCATTCTATACACAGCTCTGATACCATTCTATACACAGCAGCAGGTAGTACGGCCAAGGCTCTGGTAACTGATACGGCTTCAGTTTCAGGCTTTCTTAAGCCAAGAAGACGTTAGAGTCTTGAACACCGGTTAGAATACCTTAGTTATATGTCTGATCTATGGAAAGCTTATGGTTGATATTATCTTATTAAGTTTGATCGATCTACACGCTGTTATCATAATACCAAATAGTATTATCAGGACTCTACTATCCGAAAAATTTGAAACTGAAACCGTATCAATTGTCATAGCCTTGACCATACTACCTGCTATATAGACGAATAGTTTGGGCCCAAATGGAAAGTGGGCCTCCAGGTGGGAAGGCAAAAAAAGGTTGGAAGGCATGAGGTTGTCCGTAGTAGGTAAGGCCGGAAAGAAGGTGGGTCCACTACCTCAGGCTCAGCTAAAACAAAAGAAAAAAGTGGGTCCCTTACTTTTTACATTACTCACTGGTTCACCGCATGATACCGTGGTAGTAGGCCCCAGCTGTATACAAACAATGGACAGTGAATCAGTGACAACACAACGAAACTGAAAAAGAAGCCATTCTCGGATACTGTCAAGCTCTATCCTTTCGTTTCTTCCCATTATGCTTCTTTTTCTTCTCTTGCCTCTGTCCTATCGTATACTATATACTCCTTGTTTCCTCAATAACTCTCCTTGATCCAGAAGCAACAAATATTTCTTCACCTTCACTTCTCCTTCAAAGGTATCTCCTTTCCCTTTCACTCCTTTCCCTTTCAAACATTTCTGCATGTATGTATACGTTGACTTTGTTTGTCTTATGTATGATCAAACATCATATATGTCATTGTTAGATCAAACTCAAAAAAGGGTTTTTCTTTTTTCTTTTGATATCTATGGTTTTTTTCCCTGTAAGAAGGCCTTTCCTTCTGTTTCATTGTTTGTTGGTACTGTGTTGGTGGCTAGATATTTATTGCCATTAGATGAACCCAAAAGCAACTTTTTTCTTGCTTTTTATGTTTAATTTTTTTATAATTGTATATGTAGTAGATTCTGCCTTTCATTGAAAAGGGGTTATCCTTTTGCTTTTATCTCCTTTTGATACCCATGCCGGGATGGGGTTTTGAACTTCACATTTCATAATCCTATTAAGTCATTGTTTAGAAGCATCAATGGACGAAGAGCATGACCTTGATTGTCAAGTGCAGTATAGAAATGGATTTTTATTGGAACAATTTATCTGCCACATTCTTCTTTTTTTAGATATTTAGTCAAGTTGAAATTTTGTATCCAGTTTTGCATTGTTTTGGATGCACCTGTGCCATTTTAAACCTTCTCTCTTTGATAGAATGAAAAAATAAATTCATCTCATAACCTTGACATAGGCATCTTAAGTGATTTTAATTTGTTTACAAACACATTCCTTGATGCTTACATATAACAGATTACACTGTCTTGCTTGAGCCCTATACTTGGTAAATTATCATACCACAGGACAATGTTGTCGTTTCTAAATTATAATATTAAATGTATACAAGCTTCTTTTTGCTCTATTAAAGCTTTCTTTATATTTCAAAAAGAAGAAAAAGGATTAAAAATGCTTTGGATGTTGGAAATTCTTTTTAAGGTTTTCACATTTCTTGGATAAGTCTATGGCTGATCATGAACTTGACTGGAGTCACCTGTGTGGTCGGGCCTTGTGCTTGCTAGTTTATGCTTTGGAAGGGAAATTAGCATTGGTGATAGCGGCACAGAAAGTCAGTTCTTTATACCGAATTTGTTGATGATGATTTATCAAAAGTTCAGTTGGGTTACCATATGGTGTTTTTTAACACAAATAAAAGCATTGAGGTGCGATACATGCTCTTGATTTATGTTATGAATGTGGAGGTCTCCTTTTCTATCTTGAACACATTATCAATTTCATATGTTCCATTTTAATTTTAATTTATACTATATGTGCCTCAACAATTATTTCATAATTTAGCTTGGTCATTTTTGTTGTATTTACATTCAAAGGTTGCTGACAGTGCTTGTCAGATTTACTGGGTAAATACAGGTTCCAACATGCACATTGGCACTCTTTGAGAGTAGTGTGTTTTTCAAATATATAAGATGGCATCCAGTGAAGCCTCCATCAATATTCATGATCATGGTAAAGCTGTGGATGGAAAAAAGCAAAGAGTCCAATGCAACTATTGTGAGAAAGAGATGAGTGGTTTTTTCCGTCTCAAGTACCACTTGGGAGGTGTACGGGGAGATGTGATCCCTTGTGAAAAGGTTCCAGAAGATGTGAAGGAGCTGTTCAGAAACAAATTACAAGAAAGAGGAGGACATCTCTGCAAGGAAGTCAGAGATCTATTTCAACAAGATATTCAGTGGAAGAGGAGTGGATGCCCAAATAAAAATGTTGCCAAGAAAATGAGGTGTCAAAGTTCTGAATCTTCTGGTAGTGAGAGTGGAGAATATGAAAATACAGATTCTATGTCTGAAGATGATTCGGAAGAACCTGCAATACCACCCAGCAAAATGATTGTTTTACAAAGTGCTGTTACTGGCGATGTGAAAGAAGAATCATTGTCTAAGCAAAATAAAAAATGCATTGCTAGATTTTTCTTTGAAACAGGTATCGATTTTAAGGTTGTGAACTCTCCATGCTTTAAAAGGATGATAAATGATACCCACTGTCCTGGACAGACAAAGTATATGATCCCCAATTGTCAGGAATTGAAAGGGTGGATTCTTAAGGATGAAGTAAAAGAGATGCAAGAATATGTGAAGAAGATAAAGCAGTCATGGGCAAACACTGGATGCAGTATCTTATTGGATGGATGGATTGATGAAAAAGGTCGAAACTTGGTTAGTTTTATTGTGGATTGCCCTCAGGGCCCAATTTACCTTCATTCTTCTGATGTTTCAGCCTATGTTGATGATGTTAACACATTGCAGTTGTTGTTGGATAGAGTTATTGATGAGGTTGGGGTGGAAAATGTAGTTCAAATCATTGCCTTTTCTACAATAGGTTGGGTGGGAGCTGTAGGCAAGCAGTTCATAGATAGGTGGAAGACAGTGTTTTGGACTGTGAATGCATCTCATTGTATTGAGCTCATGTTAGACAAGATTGCAATGATGGGTGAGATTGAAGAGACATTAAAAAAGGCCAGGACCCTTTTGAAGTTCATTCATGGCCATGCAACAGTATTAAACCTTTTGAGAGATTATACTGATGGTCACGATCTTGTTAAACCTACCAAGGTAAGGTCGGCAATGCCTTTTGTGACTCTGGAGAATATTATAGCAGAAAAGAAAAACTTGAAGGCAATGTTTGCATCATCTGAGTGGAACACCTCCACATGGTCTTGTAGATCAGAGGGCAAGAGGGTAGCAGAGTTGGTAGGGGATCCTTCATTCTGGAAAGGAGCTGGAATCGTTGTAAAGATAGCTCTACCTCTGGTACGTGTTTTATGTTTGATGATTGGGGATGATAAACCCCAAATGGGATTCATATACGAAACCATAGATCAAATGAAGGAGACAATTAAAGAGGAATGCAGGAGCAAGAAATCATTGTATATGCCCTTTTGGAAAGTGATTGATGAGATCTGGGATGGCCATCTCCATAGCCCTCTCCATGCTGCTGGTTATTTTTTTAATCCAAGTCTTTTCTATTCAACTTATTTCCAATGTGATTATGAGGTTACCTTTGGCCTGTTATCTTGTATGGTCCGTATGAATCAAAATCAGTCCACTCAAGATAAAATCATACAACAGCTTGTTGCCTATAGACATTCTAAAGGTGCTTTTGGAGAGGGGAGTACCTTGCAGCAAAGAACAAAATTTTCTCCTGGTATGAAAACAATGCCTTTTTCCACTTTCACAATTTCTAATATTTTAGATTTTTTAATTCAAAATTTTATCCTCTGTGAATTTGAATGCAGCCTCGTGGTGGTGTCATTATGGAGGACAGTATCCAGAGTTGCAGCGATTTGCAACAAGAATTTTGAGCCAAACTTGTGTTGGTGCTTCAAAATATAAGCTCAATAGGAGTTTTGCGGAGAAGCTACTAACAAAAGGAAGGGAACGTATTGAGCAACAACTACTAAGTGATCTCACATTTGTTCATTATAATTTGCAACTGCAGCAGCAGCATTCTCTGTTAGGTGTAAACTATGACATTGTTGCCGATGAGATAGATTCATTGGATGAGTGGATAGTAGCTGATAAACAGGAGATTGGGTCCTCAAATGGTGATTCAGCTTCAATGGAGTTGGAGAGTGCTAAAGCAGCTGTCAATGGAGAAATACCTTCATTTCAAGTCAAGGAAGAGCCCAGGTAAATGTAAGACAGACAGAAAGGTGGATTAGAGCAATAGCATTTTGGCAAGGTAAGGGTCATGGGTCGTTTAATCTATCATGAGAATGTATGTAAAACCTCTGTTTCTCCATCGACTCGTGCTATTAACCTTTTTTGTGTGTAGAAAAAAAAAAAATCACCAAGGAACATGTCTGCAAATGTTTTACATTTTATAAGAAAAAAATAATAATATAAGCTATCTATCTTTTATTACATGTAAATAAGTTTATAATATTTTATTTTGCTGTAAATAAAATCACAAACTTTTAAAATTATTTAATTAAGTTTAATTTCATTAAATAAGACTAACGGGTGTTTGTATTGCATAGTTGCAACTTAGACATGTCATTTTGATTAAAGAAGATTAATATGCAAATTATGCAGATATACTTTTAACCTTTTATACAAAATAATTATAAACTCTTGACTTTTTATTTAATTTTTAAATTTTATTTGTGAAAAAAAAGGAAAATTGGGAAAAAAAAAACAAAATTTTACTAGTAATTTTATTGCAACCCAAAATCCAAACCTTATTAGAGAAAATAGAAGGTCGAAAACTTCAACAGGATTATCAAAATCATTTTAATTTGAGTCACTCTCTTGTATCTTATTCGTAGTCAAGGATTTTATGTATCTTTATCATATTATATATTTATCTCATGTTTATCTAGTATTTACTTTTTATTTTGTATTTTATTATATTCATCCTACCAGCTTAAAATTCGTACTATAAATACCATCCAACACAACATGTGACTTCAAGCTTTTTTCCTCCTTATTTCTTGGTCAAGGATTTTGCATGAAACAGCCTCTTGCTGCAAAATAAAACAGGTTTTTATGAATTTCAAGCCATGCAATCATTGATTAAAGTATAACCTCAAGCTTTTTTCCTCTGAAATTCTTTTACAACTCAATGGATCTTTGAGATTAAATGAATTAAATGGAAGTCAAAATGATTATTTTTTTAATATTTGAGATCGTCAAAATTAAAATTTTAATATTTTATTAATAAATTATACAATTATTGACAAAAAATAAAAAATTACCATTTGAACCCGTCGAACACACCCTTTTGATGGTACTTCATTTTGGTGCCTAGACTATATACATATATATATATATATATTTAAAAACTTTTTTACAAGCATGGATCCCGTTTTTCAAGACACCATATTAATCTATTAATATTTGAAAGTTTTTAAATTAAATAATTATTTAATATATCAAAGCTACACAATTGATTCGATAAATGTCAAGCAAAATGAGAAAAACATCACCATCATGATAATCATAAATTCATAATCTCCGTGATTTTCTTGCAAAATGGGGTGGGAATTCTACAAATATGGTCTCTTTTTCTTACAAACTCATTTTCACTAACTTCTGTCCACAAACAGACACAAAACACAACAGATCCATTTTTTAAATTATTTATTACATTATTTTGAGTTACTCAAAACTCAAATTACAAATATGTATATTTTAAAATTAATTGTTCTGGAAGTTCTTTTGGATTCTCTTTGCTTTCTTTCGTTTTTCTCCGTTTGAATTCTCTCTTACCAAGTCTTTGTTAGCTCAACCGTATCTTTGTCATTTTTGCACCCCACTTTTCTCTGTGCAATTGAACAAAATTGAGTGTTATAAGTATCAGTTGACAAACAAGTACATTCTTTTTCTGAGAAATCAAAGCTGAAGAAGAAGAAGAAGAAGGAGCTGAGAACCAGTTTCAAGTTGGATTTGGGTGTTATTTTATTTTTTTCAAGTATCAAGAAAATTGAGATCTTTCAGGTATTTCTCTGTCAAAAGCCTCTTCTTTTACATTTTCACTGGAAATGGGCTTTTGGGTTGTTAGTCTTTTAGGACCACAGATTTTTTTTGCATGAAAAAAATATTTCTTTCTTATTTTTCTCCTTCTTGCAAGTTTGAAAATGGGTTCTTGTTGTTTTCTTGTGTTTGTTTTTACGAGGTTGAGATAGATGCATGAAGGGAAAAGGAACTCATTAAGGTTGATGGGGGGGGGGGGGGGGGGGGTTCATCCTGTTAGTTGTGATTAGTATTATTAGAAAAAAAAAAACTAGTGTTCGAAACAAAAAAAAGGGACCACTAAGATCTGTCCTTTGGATTCTTCTTCTTTTTCTTTTTAATCTTCTTTGAATCAATTTGTTTCATCATTGTCTTATGGCTTGGAAGCTTTTTATGGAGTGAAAAGTGAAGAAACTTGAATTACTTTTCTTTTTGACTTACTATTTGCCCCATAACTTTTGAAATCTCTGCTTTGGTCTCTCTTTTAATCCGTGCATCTTCTTTTTCAATGGATATGAAAGGGGCAGAAAAGCAACCGAGTTCTCTGCTTTTAAATCACCTTTGATTAACTTTTGAAGGGCATGTCAAGTTTTTCTCTTTGTTTTTAGTCACCATGGAAGCTACTTTTGTCTTCCACAAACAGCAATTTCTTTCTTTTTTTTTTTTTTTAATAATTGCATATTCGTTGCATTTGGTCAATTTCCTTTTCTTGTTTTTCCTTTTGGCACAGTTATATCCTCATAATATTCACAGCTTTTGCTTAACTCTGATTTTCATGAAGTGGAAATGTAATTCATTATTCTAAGTAGATTCACAGATATTATTTCTTCTACACATTTCCTTCTTGAAATGATTTTTATTTCTACAGCTGCTGGTTGTATTCGACTTAAATCAAAGCTACCAGGCTGCTTTTTTTTTGGTACGGTTGTGTTGAAAATGACTGGTAACTGTGCATTCATTGAGTTTGTTTGTCCTTATTTACATATTCACAAGCCACACAGTACTCTGTCTAAAAACAACAGCTCATTCCTCATTAATGACAAAATCTATCTCTAGTTCCCAAATTGAAAATTCTAAAGAAAAAAAAAAGTCTTTTGACGTTTTAATTGGATCTTGCAGGATTGATGATGTTTGTTTGTTTATGGGGGCGATATAGAAGCCAAGCTACTTCGGATATTCCAGGGTTTGCTTTATTTGATAAAAGCCAAACCTCATGATCACAGGATGTGCGACTCATCTGTTGTGCAATCTGCCTTCTGCCAGTAAGGATTGCATCATTTATTTTCTTTGTTTGTTTACTTGCTTATGCTCTTGTTGGCTTACAAATGGAGCTTTAGTTTCTTTTTCATGGTTTTCTCTATTTTTCTTTCTATATTTCTTTACCATTGAATGATTTTTCCTGCAGAAATGATTCCATTTCGAAATGTTCACATTCTAAGGCAATTTACTGCAACTCAGGATCTCAGCTAGATATTGTCGGTGAACTTCAAGGTCATAACTCATCCTTAGAGGTAAGTGCTGGTGTGCTTGTCCTTTTAGTGATTGTTGATTAACACTGAGTGAAATGTCCGTGGAACTAAGTCATTGTCTGTCATAGCAATTTGCTATTCTTCTACCCTCTTTTCTGCTATCTGACAGTTTTTGAAGTCAATTTTCTTGTAATTTTCTACATTTTAGCATATTGGTAATTAGTGTTTGCAGTTGTGATGAAATGTCAAATATCTACAAACTGACTCAGAGTTTTGAATATGATACCAATTGTAGAAGAGAGAAATAACCATTTCCATTCATTTTGTTTGTTGGTCAACTTCAATTACAAGTCCTAGGAATTTTCCTTTATTCTTTTCCAAAGGCTAGAATAAGAGTTCTAGCAGAGTACTAGTTATATTTTCAGATTTCTATTAGTTTGTATTTGATCATTTGCATCATTTTGTTGCATTTATAAGTAATAAATTGTTCTTCTAATTTTAGGAAAAGTCATTTGGGTTAAATTTGACCTTCATTGTGAATTTGGTGATTTATTCAGGCAAGTAGTTATAACGAAGAGACTGGAAGTGTTGAATCATGTTCTAGAAGCAGCGATTCTTGTCCATATAGGTTTCAGCTCGAGCAAGATGTAAGCATTTCTCAACTGTGATAATGTTTTAGCTAATGCATTAAACTAGTTACTTAAGATGATAGGTTCGGTTCTGATGCAATATGCCTTGAAGTAGTTGTGCAGCGGTATTCATGATAACGTCTTTGGTGAAATTTGTTATTTTTAATAGGCAATGGATTAATCTGTGTTAACTTTTTGGTTATAATAGCTTACTGTTGGAAAAAATCTACTTATTTTAATCACTACAATGGTTCCAGAACTAAGACAATTTCAAAGAATGCTTTAGGGTAAATCTGTATTTTATTCTGCTAACTATATTCTTTTGATAATTTTTACAGGTACATAAATTACAACAAAAGCTGCAAAAAGAGATGGACCTGCATTCTATTCTGGCAAATGCTATAGAGAAAAATGCTACAGAATTGTCAAGTCCTTCATGCCTCCCACACCATGTATGTCAGTTACATATATTCTTTACCTGCTTTTGGTAATTTTACCTTGCATGTTGACTATTTCAAGTTGTACATATATGCCGTTTTCATATTTCACGGTGATGGTTTGTGTGCCAAATTCTTGTGAAAGTTCAAAGCAATATGTTGTATGAGGTTGGGCAAGCGGCATAGATATTGTTTTGTACCATTAATGATAAGTTTTTGTACTCTACTTTCTTAATAAACATAGGGATGTTTTGATCTCTTATTCTTATTAATTGATGTTCCTTTATTCCCTTTATGACAACTTTTGGACAGCAATTGGGACTGTTGTATTACACAAAAGCTTATTGTTCATATCCTTATTCACACATATAGCATATAGCAGTTGTCTGGATGATTTAATTGGTGTTAAAAGTACCATTTAAGCCAATTGTCTCGTTCTGTGCATTGTAAGCAGGATGCTGCCCTTGCAGGGGTGTGCAAAAGCAGGCAAGCTGATTCCTCATAGTGAAAAAATTTCAGTCTTACCAACATATGAAAATGTTACCCTGCTTTGAACATGTTCAACATTTCATTGGTTGTGGCCATCTCAAATTGGGGAGTTTATATTTTCTGCTTTTCTCTGGTTCTTTGAGATTTCTACATAATAAATCCACTGAATTATTCATGAACTTCATACATTTAGTTTAGGCATCCCTTTTAAATTGTGAACAGGTTTCTTTAATGTTTTAAAGATTGTTATAATATTGCCCTTTTCTTATTCTCTTCCAGGTTCAGGAGCTTCTATCCCATATTGCAGTATTGGAGGGTACTATCTCCAAACTTGAACGAGAGATGGTGTCTTTGCATTTCCAGCTTAGTCAAGAGAGAAATGAATTGAGACTTGCTGGATACCGTTTGAGACATTCTTTTTCTCCATCAGTACATATCTCTCTGCTATTATCACATTACTGCTAAATGTCTCTCTATAAAAACATAAATCCTTCATGATTATAACTGCAGTTTCTTTCTATTTATTTAACTCTTTTCTAAGTTGAGCTTGTTCCATAACATGTTGAAACCAATAATTTAAAGTCATAGTTATTTGTAGCCTGTTAACATCTTTGTTGTGCTTAACGTTGAAACCAATATTAAACTTTCTTTTGTTAGCCAGATTTCACCTTCACTGAGGTGTTTGAAGCTCTCAAATTCTGTACTGCATCATTCCTTAGAAGACATATCATGCCATGAGCCTACAGACCAACTATCAGAATCTACTGGTGAATCATCTTCTACAGAGTCAATAAGAGAGGTATATGTAGCTTCCTTAACGCCTCTAGAGCTTTCAACTTCATAAGTATTTTGATTGATATAGTCCATCACATACTTAATAAAAATTGGTTCCATTTATAAAGCAGATCGTTGACATTCTTGTAACTGAAAGCTTCAATAAGTATTTTGCCCATTAAAGTTGTATAACCAAATAGTGAGTTTTGTATTGAAGTTCTTAAGAGAATTTTAGAAAACTACATGTTATATATCATGATGTGCATTCTAAATTTTGTTATATATCATGATGTGATTAAGTAGTATACATACAATCAATATGCTTGTTTCTTTTCATGCTTTTGTCCATATGCTTGATGTGACTGTAGTTGTAAAGATTTGGGCTTCAAGCTACTTTCTCTAAAGCCTAGGGTTATTTCACACAATCCTAAATAAGGCATAATTGCTACTAGAACTCTCATAAACTTGTTCTCTAAAAATTGAAAAAGCTTAGGAGATCTTTTACTCTGCAGTTCTAACCATATTAATGTAAGGACTTGAGATTCAAATGAAAATCCATTACAAATGACTTAAAGCAATTCCTAAACTATAAATAGAACCTAATAACACTATGAAAACCTTGAAAATAGAACTTAGGCTCGAAATCTTCAGCAAATCTGGAAATTACCAGAATACTCTGACACATACTCTAGAAAGCATAAAATTAAAGGAAATTACCTAAAAACTCGAACTGGCCATTCATATAAATGATAGACAGAGTAATGAATTGTGACAAGATGAAGTACTGCTACAAGAAAGCTTGTAATACATGGCAGCTATTAATGGTTAACATGACAAGATGCAGGCCAGGATGGAAGAACGAAAATCACAGTTCATTTGGAAAAGTAAAACCACTTTGAGACTTAGTAGGGGCAAGGAAAACATAATAAAAAGATGAGATTAAATTTTCTATAGTTCAATCTTAGGAACAATTTAAAGTTCTAATGATGGATCTTATGTTCACATCTTGTTTCATAATCTGCCTCAATAAAAGTACATGATAAAAAAAAATTTTAATTTTTAGTGATGATTACTACTGAAAACTGCAGAAGGTTTTTATTGAGCTTTTAATAATTATAATTTACAGCAGAATGCAGTGGACTCACTTTTGCATCTTGACGGGAAGAAAATATCTGCAAAGACAGATGACAGTTCTTGGCAACCTTTACAGTTGGACAAGATTTCAAGAGGGATACCACCTAAAGGCCTTTGGGATCACCCTAACCAATTATCAGAAGAGATGGTAAGATGCATGAGAAATATATTCATATCTCTTGCGGATTCAGCTATACCCTCCAAATCATCTGCATTTAAAAGCCACAGCTCAAATCTATCACCACGGGGACATCTTTCAAATTCATCATGGTGGTCATCATCTGAACGCTTAATGATTCCATCATGGGTGCAGAGCCCACAAGTTGATATTCAAAGCAACGCTGAAGTTTTGGCTTCAGAGAATTCCTTTGATCCCTATAGAGTACATGGAAAATTAAGCTGGGCTGAAATAGGAAACTATGGCTTAGCAACTGAAGTATCTTGGATGTCAGTTGGGAAAAAGCAGCTAGAATATGCTTCTGGGGCCTTAAGGAGGTTCAGGTATTATGCTTGTCAGACCTTTTTGATTAAATATTCTCTCTCTCAGCAAATGATTATCAACTGAGGATTTTTAAAGGGGCAGAATAGGGTAATAGCCTAATCGCTTAACAATTTAATCATATAGTGATTAGAGCATGAGTAGAATGTCTATATGTTCTCTTTCTATATGGATCTTACTCTTGTTTCAAGAAAAAAATGTTAAAAACCTTGTAAATTAACAACCTTTAAAATACTATGTTGCTTTACGGATAGTGTTGATGACGAAAATGAACACCTATAATGCTCCAAAGATCAGACAGTCGGAGGAAGAAAAAATGTTGCTTCCTAAGGTTCTACATCCTAATGCCATGTACTAGCAAGGGGATTTGTTGTTCAAACTAGGTTCCTACATTAGTGCAGCTTGATTTCCTAATTTATTTTAGAATATTTCTCATTTACTCTTCTGATTTAGTCAACTATTCTAATTGTCAAGTTTTTAAAGATTTGTTTTTATTCTAGAATAGAATAATTTTCCTTTCTTTTATTATTTTTTATTTTCTGTTTCATGTAAGTTGTTTCCTAATAAGGAACTTCACTGTTCCTATTTATTTAGATGTACATCTTCATTGTAGATTGAAAAGAAGAAATAAGGACAATTGTTTTTTAACTTTTCTACATGGTATCAAAGCAAGTCGGCCTCAACCATTAGATTGTAACCACACAAGTTTCCATTATGGCTAGTAGGAGTGAGAATTCTTCTTCTGTAGAGATATGGCATGAGGAAAATTACAAAGAAGTGATGCTCCAACAAACCCTTCAAAACAAGTGTGCAACCTTTGGAATTAGTTTACTAGCACAAATAGGTACTAAACGCCTTAGGTGTTCAATGGGGAAATACACAATCTTAGATTGTTGATTCAGGAGCATCAGATTACATGACTAGAGATGCATTCTTATTCAACACATATAGACCTTGCTATGATAGTTCTGCTGTAAAAATTGCTGATGGCTCTCTCTCGAAGGTGGCGGGAACAAGTTCTATTGTAGTTTCGAAAGACATAACACTCGACTCTGACCTCCATGTCTCTAATTTAAGCTGTAACCTACTTTCCATCAGTAAGTTTATGAAGGAGAGATGTTGTGTTACTAAATTTTTCCCAACTTGTATGAATTTCAGGAATTGGGCTCAGGGAGGATTATTGGCAGTGCTAGGATATGTGCAGGGCTCTACCTTCTTCAAGATGATGCACATGAGAGATCATAAAACTTTTGTACAGCCTTAGTCTCTAGTACTAGTAAGGATGACCTTATCATGTTATGGCATTATCGATTAGGAGATCCAAATATTTCATACCTAAAAAGGCTATTTCTCTCATTATTCAATAACATCTCTTAAGATTTTCAGTGTGAAATTTGTCAACTTTCTAAGCACACTCGAAATACCTACCCTAGCCTTTCCTATAAATCATCTCAGCCTTTTTCAATGATTCACAGTGACATTTGGGGATCGTCAAGAGTTAACAATATCATAGGTTTTAGGTGGTTTGTTACATTCATCAATGATCATACTCGAGTCAATTAGATATTCCTTATGAAAGAAAAATTTGAGGTTAGCCAAATCTTTCAAAGCTTCAATAGCACGGTACAAACCCAATTCCAAGCCAAAATCCAAGTCTTAAAAACTGAAAATGGAAGGGAATACTTCAACTTTGTTCTCGACCCTTACCTCACCAATCATGGCATTATCCATCAAAGCTCTTACATTGACACTCCACAATAAAATGGGGTTGCTGAACGCAAAAACAGACTTTGATAGAAGTGACCAGATCCCTCTTGTTGACTTCCAATGTGCCTAAATATTTTTTGGGAGAAGCTGTCCTCTCTGCAACCTATTTAGTTAACCGAATGCCTTCTCGAGTTTTTGGCTTTAAAGCACATTGTCAATTACTATTTGTTTCTTATTCACAAACTCGGTTGATCTCTTCCATTCTCATCAAACTCTTTGGTTGCATTGCCTTTGTTCATATTAGCCAACAAAACCGTATCAAGCTTGATCCCAAACCAAAAGGGCTATAGGTGTTACTCACTCATCACAAAAAAAATTCTATAGCTCTATGGATGTCACCTTCCTTGAGAATCTTCCATGCTACAACAAGAATGATATTCAGGGAGAGAATACTACTCATGAATATCAATTCTTAGCTGTTGACTTGCCAATTTCCCAATCAGCCCCTTCAAAACTAGAATCTCAATCAGTCGTTTCAAAACCTGATTCTCAACCTACCCAACCTATCAACCATGCAGATTCTGAAACCCAACCTATTCAAACAACTCTTGACTCTACAAACCCTAAGGTTATGCAAGAAAAAACAAAAGAACTGATAGTCTACTCAAGGAAGCAAAAACCACAGGAAGAAGTGGACAACTATACATTGCCTAGCACTAAAAATCCACCTGATTCGAGTCTTCAAGAACCTGAAACCAACGTAAGTAATGTCCCTATTGAATCTGAAATTGAAACTTGTGAGCCAGATGGTGACCTTGACATTCCTATTGCATTAAAAAAAGGTGTGAGATCATGCACTCGGTATCCTATCTACAAGTACATCTCATATGACAAGTTAAATCCAAATTTTCGAGTCTTTACTACTAACCTTGACAATGTGCAAATTCCAAAAAATACTTAGGAAGTCCTCAATGAACCAGATTGGAAGGCAGTAGTTCTTGAAGAAATCAAGCCACTGGAGAAAAATGGGACATGAGAAATTTTAGATTTACCCAAAGGAAAAAACCCAGTTGAGTGTAAGTGGATCTTCATAATAAAGCACAATGTAGATGGAAGTATAAACAGGTTCAAAGCTAGACTTGTTGCAAAGGGATTCACTCAATCCTCTAAGATAGACTATGAGGAGACATTTGCTTCGGTTGCCAAACTTAATTCAATTAGAGTTCTATTGTCACTAGCAACCAACTTGGATTGGCCTTTCCATCAACTTGATATCAAGAATGTATTCTTAAATGGTGACTTGGAGGAAGATGTTTACATGAAAATTTCCCCTAGTTTCAAAAGGCAAGACAACATGGGCAAAGTGTGCAAACTCCAGATATCTTTGTATGAATTTAAACAGTCTCCTCAAGTTTGGTTTGAATAGTTAACTAAGGCAATGAAAAGGTATGGATTCCTTCAATCTGACCATATTACAAAGTTCACTAATGAAGGAAAAAGAGTTATTCTTATTGTTTATGTGGATGATATCATAATCACTGGAGACCCCAAAGAAGGCATAGATGATTTGAAGAAACGTTTTGCAAAGGAGTTTGAAATAAAGAACTTGGGGTTCCTTAAATATTTCCTTGGGATGGAAGTGGTTCAGTCTAAGAATGGAATATTAGTGTCTCAGTGTAAGTGTTTACTTGATCTACTTAAAGAAACCGCCGTGATTGGATGCAAACCTTTCGATACACCCATAGACTCAACTAATAAAATTGGAAGTGAAAATGGAAGCTCTTGCACTGACAAAGGGCGATACCAAAGACTAGTTGGGAAGATTATTTACCTCTCCCACACATGACTTGATATCAGGTTTGCAGTAGGGATGGTAAGTAGATACATGAATAATCCAACCAAGTAGTAGTTTAAGGTTGCTCATCGCATCTTACAGTACTTAAAGAAGAGTCCTTGTGAAGGTCTATGTTTGAAGAAGTCAATGGTTAGGGCAGTCGAGGTGTACACAGATGCTGATTGGGTTGGATCAGTAATAGATAGAAGGTCCACTACTGGATATTGCACTTATGTTTGGGGAAATTTGGTCACTTGGAGAAGTAAAAAGCAAGCTTTGTATCTAGGAGCAGTGTTGAGGTTGAGTTTAGAGCAATGTCCTATGGTATTTGTGTAGGAATTTGGCTGATAAGGTTACTTGGAGAATTAAAAGTTCAAATTGTGACATCTATGACACTATTTTGTGACAATAAGGCTACTGTAAGTATTGCCAAAAATCATGTTTATCATGATAGGACCAAGCACATAGAGCTGGACCTACATTTCATAAAGGAAAAGATAGAAAATGGGTCTGTCAAATTGGCTTATATCCCTACAAGTTCACAAATTGCAGATATTCTAACTAAAGCTCTTCCTAAAAGTATTTTTTACGGTTTGAAATCCAAACTGAGTATGATTAACATTCATAACCTAGCTTGAAGAGGAGTGTAGAAATATGATTTTCTTACATTAGTGCAAATCCGATTCTCCTACATTAGTGCAAATCCAATTCTCCTACATTAGTGCAACTTGATTTCCTAATTTATTTTGGGAATATTTCTCATTTACTCTTCTGATTTAGTCAATTATTTTGATTGTCAAGTTTTAGGGATTTCTTTCTATTCTAGAATAGAATAATTTTCCTTCCTTTTATTATTTTTTATTTTCTGTTTCATGTGAGTTGTTTCCTAATAAGGAACTTCACTGTTCCTATTTATTTAGATGTACTCCTTCATTGTAGATTGAAAAGAAGAAATAAGGGCAATTGTTCTTTAAGTTTTCTATAGGTTAAAAGTATTCCCAAGAGAAAATTAGAAAATATAATGTAAAATAACATAAAAAGAGATAAAAGGGTTTTCATTGTTTTTGGTCAAAGACCCTTACTATTATTCAAACTGTTGGCTTATAAAGCCAAATTAAATACAAAGTTACTACCACTCCATAATCCTAAAACTAATAAAAGATTGTCGCTTGTTCTTTAGAGAGTCCTTGCATGAAACCACTTTGCTGCATCAGAGGTAACTTCCCACTTTGTTTTCCACTATCTTAAGGTGAAGGTTCACATGTCTTCATATTTATCTTTTACCAATTATCTAGGTAAAATATTACAATGAGTTATCAACAGATAGTATGTATAACTGTTGCATGGTACCATAGCCGATTGAGTACTGTTTTGCTTTTAATTGTTTGGAGAACAGAACACTGGTGGAGCAACTGGCAAAAGTGAATCCTATACACTTGAATTGCAATGAGAAGCTTGCCTTCTGGATCAACTTGTATAATGCTCTAATCATGCATGTGGGTTTCTTTATTCATTTGCAAGTGTAATTTTTCCAATCATATCCCTAGAATTGTGAAGTTTCATATAAAAACAAGATTAGCTTGACAATATTGTTCTGTATTGTCTACATCATGGACAGGCTTACTTAGCATACGGGGTTCCAAGAAGCGACTTGAAGCTCTTCTCCTTGATGCAGAAGGTATAAATTGTTAAATGAGTACCCTGAATCCGTATTAAATTTATTTTCCTAGTTTTATGTGTTTATATTATTATCTACTAGCATCTGTAAGTAGTTTGATATTGAGACTTGCCATTTTCCCCTTTGGAAAGAGGGAAGGGTGTTACTCTCCGTTGTATTCAATATATCATCCAGGGAATCTCCATTCTGCTTAATTTGATTGCCATTCAGTGAGTCTATTAGTGCCATACTCAGCTTTACGATGCTGTCTGTGCCTTGTTTTGACAGGCACTGAATTGCAAACTCTGCTTCTATAGTTCTATTATTTCTGTGTTCTTCATAATCTTATTAGTATATCTTTCCACTATTTTGGAGAGTGCTGAGTGCTGTGGTAGCTTTTAGTCAATAAATTTTGATCCAGTGATCAACAAACATATATGTAGATGCATTTAGTTATGTTGTAGAGTACGAGGACTGCTAAGGAAGCAAAAAGTAGCCCAAGCTGTGTGGTTCCAGGCTGTTGATTAATGTTTTACAACAGGCTGTCAAGTATGGCCCTTTGTGTTAAATATTAGATGCCTGCTTGTTCTACCCTTATCATATCAGATTTATTATTGCATATAGGTGTCTACCTTCTGGTAACTGTTATACAACTTTTCAAAATTTCCCATGGATGGGTTAAGCAATGTTTGAATGCAAAATTTCATTATTCCACCAAAGCCTAAATTATTTCTGGTACCATTTTTTGTGTTAAGTAATTATGAAGATATGACTTACATAGAGTCTGGCTAACATAATAAGGGTTAAAGAAACGAGTTTTCCTCCTAAAAGAAGCAATAATTATGAGAGGGAAGAAAATTTGGGACAATAATTTAGATAAAGCCCCTTATATATGTTTGCCTTCTGATGTTCAAATCTAGTCCTTTGAAGAAACTTCATGGTTCAAAAGGCAATGAATGATTAAGTCTTTCAAATATTAGAGATCTCACGTCTTGAATTTCTGAGATTTTTTTTTTTGTTATATATTTCTTACTAATTTCTACATCTGTGCGTATGGTTAAATAAGTTTCAGGTGTCCTCACAAAAATCTCTATAGTTTTTAAATGTAATAAGATCAGATGATGAATTCATATGGAGAGTTGTAATGTTGGTTTAATTGACTTTGATATTGTTGTAGTTTTTTTCTGACGAAAAGTTTTACTCTTCTAGGCAACATATACAGTCGGAGGCCACTCCTTCAGTGCTGCTGCAATCGAATATGTCATTCTGAAGATGAAGCCTCCTTTGCATAGGCCACAAATTGTAAGGATTTTCTGTGATGATTTACACTTGTTTTCTTTATTTGCTTCTCCTACTTCACTAACTAATGCCAGTAACAACTAACAAATGTAAAAAATTTTGTCAGGCTTTGCTTCTTGCGATTCACAAACTGAAGGTTTCAGACGAGCAACGCAAGTCTGCAATTGATACATATGAACCACTTGTATCTTTCGCTCTCAGTTGTGGAATGTACTCATCACCTGTGGTAATCTCAATTTTTTTGTTTCCTCTTTACACACACACACACACACTATTTTGGTTGTTCTGAATTGTAGATTTTATGAGTGAGGTGCAAATGCCAGATTAGGATCTTCACTGCTAAGAATGTTAGGGAGGAGCTTGAAGAAGCTCAGCGTGATTTTATACGAGCTTCAGTTGGGGTTAGCAGCAAAGGGAAGCTATTAGTTCCAAAATTACTGCACTGCTTTACTAAGGGCTTTGTGGATGATTCTAATTTGGCTGTATGGATATCTCATTACCTTCCACCCCATCAAGCTGCCTTTGTCGAACAATGCATCTCACAAAGGAGGCAAAGCCTTCTTGGTTCCCGTAACTGTGGCATTCTTCCCTTTGATTCACGTTTCCGGTACTTATTCCTGCCTGAAAAAATTTCACTTCTATGATGTCTACCTTGTTACTTTGAGTTATACACACGCTAAACTACAAAAACTAGGTTGCATCCACGCCAGTGTGAATCTTAGCATCCTTAACAAAAACAAGGGTTGTTGCAGTTTTGTTTTTTTCTCCCCTGCATCCAGTGACATCCTCATTTCTGTACCAGAAAAAAAAAAAAAAGGGTGACATGCTTATTTTGCTGATGTACATTCTCTTCATGGCTACTAGAAGTAAATAAAGCTGTTGATGTATTTTGTTTATCCAACAATTATCCAATACTAGGGTTAGACTTGAATACTTATTGGACTATTATTTGCTGACAATCCAGGGTAAACTATAATGAAGCTTTTTTTTTTTTTTTGGGGGGGGGGGTGGGGAGGAGGTGGGTTGGTTTAATGTGATATATGAATTATGAATCTGATCCTAATTCAGTCTTAGTTAATTTTCTGATGTATGGTGTAGTATTCCACTCCCTTATTCGATTTTCATTGTACTGTCTTTGTAAACTCGTTGCATTTACCTCCATTGTTGAAGTGCTAACTCAAATTTTTATCATATGAAAAAACATAGAGCTACAAGAGCTAAAAATCTTAAGAGGAAATAGAAATAGAATAGATTTTCAACCATCATCTTCTAGGACGAGTTCCAAAAGGAGGAAAAACAGCTAGAACAATGGTTACCAACGATATACACTGGATCGAGCTTTAGGTGATCAGGCAACCAATGAAACTTTCGAACCTCCTTCAACTTATCACCAGAACAAAAAATGTTAAAAGTAATGTGAACTTTGAAGAAACAGGCACTTGTTTAATGCAAAAACCATAAGATTTATCTTAAATCGTATATATACCATGTTTAGTCAAATAATTTGCTTTATTGGCATTCTCGAAACAGACAATGAAACTTTTAGAGAAGCCATTGAGTTCACAGAAAATCCATATGAAAACAGGTAACATGAGTCCGTATGAAATAAATATGAGCTACTTAGCTCTTAAACTTCTAAAACATTTGAGAAAACAATTATTTTCTGCAGGAACAACGGCATCTCTACTCAAACAGAAAGATCCAAAAATGTACAGTTGAGCTAAGGTATTGAGGATATGTAAGAATCAATCCTCGAACAAACAAGTATCTGATGAGTCATGATATTTTTTGCCATTGATCACGAAGTATTCTTTATATATGTTTACGTCTTCTTTAAATAATAATTTACTTTTATTATATACTTGCTAGGAACAAATAATTCAATTTGGTAAGAAAATTTACTATTTGCAGAAAGAGAATAGTCCGAAATATTTCAATCTCATTGTTTTTTTAGAAAAAAGCAATAAAAATCAATAAAATTGAAAGTACAATAATAAAATACAATAAAATTGAAATGCAATGGCAGAATAAAAAAAAATTGAACTAAAAGTATATAGGGGTCCAAAACCAAAAATTATTTAATTATTTGAAAAAAATTGCATAAAACACATGAAAGGACTTTCAATTACTATTGCAATGATTGAACTTCTTGTAAATTAAGATACTTGTATAGCTTTTCAATTTGTTTTAACCATATAGTAAACTTTACAATTTTTTTTTTTTTTTTTTTGGTTTCATCTCATTTTCTGAGTAACTAATTTACTTTTGAGATCGACTCTTAGAGCATAAAATATATTTGATTATTAATTTATTTATTGTTAAACGTAAGTTTCTTTATGTAAGTAAAAAAAGGATTGTTAATATTATAAATGACAATTCTTAAATCCCTTAGTTGTATTTTCATAAATTTTTTTTTATATAAAAAAAGGTGGCCTGAAATAACCCGAGATTCAAAATGACCAGACATGTTAGGTAAGCCGAACCCGACTTAAAATACCCAAAATTTCTAATATCCTCGTAAAAGAAAACAAAGGGTCAGCTAACTCAAATTAAGAAAACAAATATTCACAAGACCATAGTGTTAATAAGACCATCAGCTCAACAAGTATAAATCATGGAAGTACTCCACTTGAGCCAACTAACTAATAAACTCTAAAGCTGGTATGTATGCTAACTCTACGCCTTCTTTCTTCAATTACTTCCATAATTTATCAACTCTTAAAAGGAATAATCTAATCTATCTACTAAGAAGTATTCTTGGGCCCATAGAGAAAGTTCCAGTAATGATTAAGCATGTGATCACTGGGAGTTACTCTATCCCCCTTCCCTGTACAGAATATTGCATATGCATCTGCAGCATACCTGGTCACCAAAAAGGTTACAACACTAGACTGCTTTCCCATGGGATCTACAAAATTGGATAGAGACAGAGAACAGCCGACTTACTTTCCAACACCGTGCAGCTCGGTCACATGGGTCCATTCCTTCCACAAATACTCCTGAGACATTCGTTGTATCATCTCAGCCCTCTTTCTTTGAAGACCAAGACTTTCTATAACCTTTTCTATCTCCTCGGTGGCAACCTCAGTGGCCGTCTTTGCATCAGGGCACAGAGTGAAGAGATTTGATAATACTTTTCTAGTCTGCAATTAATGTAAACATCATTAATTTGACTATATTTAACATCCACTGCTTTGTTTTCTCTGGCTTAATGAAGAAAAATTTTATAAAAGTAAAATTTATATCCATGCCAAGAACATCAAAATTTGACGTCTCATCCAATAATAACAAGACAAAGTTCTGCACTCATCGATGAGAGTCACAGGTTTAGCTTGGTTTTACCATCACGATAAGAAAAGAAATAAAATGATCAAGATCTGCCACCCATAATAACTAAGTGAGAATCTCATGAAACTCAATCATACTTCAATTGTCAATTTCACATTTTGATTAATTTGATATCTGCAATAGTTAAGTTTCATTAAATCTAGTTCTACTACGGACACACTAAATAACAGTAAGAAAAATGTTTCCAGCATGAAATTGCTCAGATGGCCGAAATCAAGCATGAGAATTTCTTAGCTACACAATATCTATATTTATCAAAGAACTAGAAGTCCAATATAAGGGACAGCACACTCAAGCCTATGGATAGCATGGAGGAATCTCACTTGGAAAAGATGGTGATGATCCCTTTAGAAAGAGAAACCAACTTTCTACACAAGGCACATCACCTACAATATTCAGTTTTCTACATGTTATTCTTAGTTTTGTTCTCCAATTTGTCAAATAAAATGCTTTCCACCAGGATGGTAGAACAATCACATAAATGTTTAGGCCTATGCTAGGCAGCAATGCATACCTGAGAGACCTTTTAGCCTCACATTAACTTGCATTCCGCTGTCCTGACTTATTCCAAAACTACCCCTCCCCTCAAACCATACACAAGACCACCACACTTTCTTTCCGCCATCCCTCTTTTTTTCTTACCTCAGCTTCACTTCTTCAATAACAAACAAAGACATAACTTCACAATGCAGCCATTTTGATTAGGGACCGTAGGTACAGTTTCTCTATGTTCAAACTAACCGTCTAGAAATCAGAGAAAATTTTTGTGAACTGGATTACCCTGTCATACAATACCTCAGGAAAGTGCTACATTTAAATGAAGAACTACAAGCCATTGTAATTTCCCCTACCAGGTTACTGATTTATATTTTAATAGTAAACAGAGAAAAAAATTGCATTCATGACTAAATTATCACCCTACCAAAGGCCTATATGATTGATCCACTCATCTCAGCAACATGTAATGCACAGAGAACCGAGATTCTAATGGAATTACATAATGATTTTTATGATATGAAAGCAAAATTATTGCTCGCATTCTGAATACTGCTAAACACATTAAAAAAGATGCCTTCTCAATTTGTAGGATTAAAGTGTCAGACTAATTCTCAGCTAAGATGGAAGATATGGAGAGACATAGTGGTCAATAGCAGTTGACAATTGTTTTGGTGCAGCACATAAGAGGATTCAGATGATTTAACTATTTATTCAAATAAAAAACGTGAAACCATAACCCCCTCCCCCCCCCCCCCCCCAAAAAAAAAAAAAAAAAGGAGGAAAGCAACAGCATCTAAAAAAGTTCCACAAGAAACATTATTAAGTAAAGAAAAGCATATAGGAATAAGAGATTTGATTGAAAGAACGAAACCTGGTTCCCAGATGTTTTGTTTAGAAGCATACATATAACCAATACCCTCCAGGGGTCATGCGTATGATCCTCCTGGAGAAGTGGAGCACTGGAGCGAGGAGGAATCCATGTGTTATCGGGAGCTTTTCTTTGGTAAGCCTCATCTCTTTTCTCGGAAACAGACAGAAAAGGTTTAAGTCCATCTGTCTTTGTTGGTTTTTTCATGCCATCTAAAATTTCATTGTTGTTCTTTTGGAAGTAAGGGGACAGTTTAATTACTTTAGGTTTTGGTTTGCGATTCCCACTTATCATGTCCTGTTTTTCTCCACTTGACTGGAAATAAGGAGAGACCATCCGAACTTGGACATCGGCTCTCCTCTTCTTGCCATTTTGTTTGCTAACGTTTTTCCCATTCTCCAAAAACTTTTCATTACTACAACCCTCATATACAACTTGCGAAAGCAAATTGAGTTGCTGTTTGCATTTGCCACTTAACAAGTCTTGTTTCTCTCTACTTGTTGGAAAATAAGGAGAAACCTTCCGTACTTGCACATCTGCTCTCCTCCTCCTTCCATTTTGTTTGCTCAGAGTTTCACTTTTCTTCGAGGCCTTTTCATTACAATGATCACCCTTGCTTTCATTACTATGATCACCCATGTATGAAAATTGGGAAAGCACATGGCCAAGATTTCTAATCTCTTTGCCCCTGGCATCCATTTTCTTATTAACCAGCGGGTTCAAAAACTACCCCTCACCTACAATTCTTGCCTTCATCACCAGTCTCTACCCTTGAATTTCGTTCAACTTCTGCACTAAAGGAAATGCAGTTCAACTTTAATTACTCCAGAAGATATCCAACTCTACACAATACCATATATATAATTCAGGAATTGGATTCAAATCAGTATCAGGGGAACAAAGAAACCCTGACATGGAAGCATAACTGAAACTGAAATAAGCCAATAATCAAATTGCATCACATAATCTATTTAAAATAATTAAACTCCTCAGAGAACTAGAAAATAAAAGATAAATATGTTCGGACAAAAAAACGTATCAAACAGTAAAGAAATAGGGGACTAAGATCAGACATATAAACCCATATATCAAAGTATAGTTCTTTTGTGAGGGACTAAGATTAGACATATATACCCATATATCAAAGTATGTTAAAGTTCTTTTCTGCCTCTCTAAAATCCCATGTTGTTCCCTGCAATTGAGACAATTCAAGACAGTACTTAGCAAAAATCAGGAAAAACAATGTCTGAAACTGAAGCAGAAAGATTTTTGGAAAATTATGGGACAAAAGAATTTGAAACCAGCTTCATTGAGACCCAATTCTTGTCTTACACCGCAACCTGCTTCCTGCCTTCCTCCATTGGTTTGTTTCCGAGGTGTACTTCGATAAACAAAGGAGAGAATAAATTCTCTAGCATTTGCCTTTTATAAAAGAAAAAGAAAAAAAATCCAATTAGAATATTAGCCCAATCTGATTACAAGCCCATTTACAAAAAAAAAAAAAAAAAAATCCAATTGGAATATTAACTTAATTACCGTTTATATGTGTTTTAATGAAATCCAATTAGGTTATAAACCCAAATTTAGCTTTATTAAATTGACAATAATGCTTTCGGCCAAAAAAATTTTATGTCGGGTCTAATAGCTTATTTAAATTATTCTTTTACTTGATTTTTCCCTTATTTTGAAAATAAATCTAATATTTTCTCTATTTTTTCTTTTATTATTTCATTCTTTTTATTTTTCTTTCCCTTTTACTTTTTCTTCCTCTTCATCTTTCTTTCTTTGCCAACCAATGAACACATAGAGGAAGAGAGAATAAAAGGTATGAAGCTATCAACCGAAACTTGATAAATTTTTTCTTTTAGTAGTTGAGGGTCTTCATTTTATGCATCAAGTTAAACTTATTTTTTATCGATACAATCGGTATTATTTATTCAATATTTATCAATACACAAATCAAATCGATATATTAAAAAAATTTATTAATTTAATTATAATATGATACGTGACAATTATATCAATCGTATAATAATTATAACATTTACAATTGATGTCATTTTAAATATATATTTTCTTTTATTTTCTTTTCTTATCAATCAATAGTCATATAAATTATTAATTAAATAATAGTATTTCCATCACATATGTTATATATATATATTAATTTTGACTTTTCATAATTAAAATTTTCAATTAGAGTTTTGACTTTACAATAATGATAACATTTTTTTTTACAAAATTAGTCTTAATTCTTTTTTAAAAAGTGAATGGTTATAGTTAAAAATAATAAAATAAAAATAAAAATGATTTTTTACTTTTCAAACGATAAAATTAATTAAAAATAACTATAAGTATGAAAATAAAATATTATTTACGAGATGAAGGGCGTACGTTTTCTTTTTAATCTTTTATCTTTGGTTGATAAGTAATAAATATATATATATATTTTTAAAACCATCGGAAACATACAATTGCATAAACATGTATATATATATATATATACTTTTTTATTTCCAAAACTTTATAATGTGATTTTTTTATGAAATTAAAAATGTAAAATAAGTTACAATAATAATCAAGTATTATATTTATGTAATTAATAGAATAATTAATTATTATATTATGATCAAATTACAATCATTAAATAATTAACTAATAAATTAAAATATAACAAAATAGTCAAAACCACACACAATATAACTTAAACCTCCTCAAGATATCTTCCAAACTTCTAAACCAAAGTCTCATTGCAATTCCATAATGTTTTAAAAACTTTAGTTTTAAATTCTGCATGTTATAGGTCTTAAAATATTATTTTCATAAACTATTAGAACTGCTAATTGACTATTAAATTTATATTAATATCATATTATTCAACAAAAATTATAACAAACATACGTAATTTTATTCACAAATCAAGTAGAACTTTTGTTTTAAAATACACTTCATCTTAATTTTAAGTTTAGAACACATCACTTACAATTATTATAATACAATCATAATTTAATATTGAGATACATAACAAATTATATAGAATTCATACTTTCAAGTGATGAATTTCTATATAATTTTTTTATTATGATTGATTAATTATAATATTATAATAAAAAAAATTGTAAGTGACATGTACTCTTGAAATCAAAAGTGAAAAAGCTAGTTTGGGGAAACTTGGATATCAAGATAATCAAAAGTCAAGGGCCTAAGCACATTGGCAGCCTCTTTTTCGATTAACTCCAACTGCCCTTTCAATAGATGTAAATAGACCACCCAATCGCCATCGCTGACCGGACTAGGCATCGGCATAACGTATCCACAAAGCCCACCCCAAGGGAAGTGGTATGACCCAAATGTTGGGAGGCCCCATCCAAAGTCCACTTTTGAAACTGGGAAACGCTGCCCTGACGACACCACCAAAGCTGGCCCATCATCCTTGCCCACGCAATACACCATCGTCATTGCAGGCTCAGGGCGAACAGCTTCAACCCAATCAATCAGTCCCAGGAAATGTTCCTTCGTCGTAGCTGGTTTTAGAAATTCATGAACTTGTTTTGCCAACGAAGACAAAGGATTTTCAATGAGTTCGCCAACTGTTTGGGATCCATACGGAATGGATAGCACATTTCCAAAATGAGAACCCATGATGGTTGCCTTAACTTCATCTCCTTCACCTAACCTTGACCTCCCATCCACAACAATCCCCATTTTCGATACCTTGTCTCTATCTTTGGCAGCAGACGTTGCTACCATTTTCCACAAAAATGCACTGAAAGACTCGAGTTTGGTCCTTTTGTCTCCATTGGAGGAGGCAAGTGATTGAAGCTCATTGAGTTGGTCAGTAGTAACGTAATAAATGCGACTAATGAGATGATCGGTAGATTCATGGTAATCTTCAGGAGGTGGCAATAAGCGTATTGGAACATACAACCCTTCCAGGGAAGGATCAATGCGCCCTGGACGTCTCGGATTCAGCAGAGATCGACGAAAGGATGGTGCCATAGAAACCGGTTTTGATCCAGCTATTTCAGCCCATGACACGAGAAACATGTTGGTTGAGTAGGCATCAGCTACTCGATGATCAAATGCGCATGCCACCACTATACCGCCACATTTAAGTTCAGTTGCCTGTAGAAATAGAAAGTATACCAGCCATTCAATAAGAAAATATTGCACTTAAACAACTTAACAAGTTTCAACCTGGAATTTTGAAAATTAGAGGGTGAGCTTTATCAAATGAAATGGTTATTTTTGTTTTCTAGTAAAGTTGGCAAAGTTTGTTCGAATCTGAAAATTCTATCTAAATCTTAACTTGATCTAATCAAGAAAAAAAAAAAAAATACAATTATGTTCCAAACCCGTATTAATCTCAAACTTAAATTACTCAAATTTCAATAATTAGAGATGGTTTTAAATTAAATTGATTTGATTTTATATTTAAATCATTTAAATTCAAAATGAATAACATTCAAATAATTAATTTCATTATAGATTCGAAAAACTTTATTTTGAAATAATATGAATTTCGTCTTTATTTTTTTTTAATATAGTTCAAGTTTGATACCTTCAAAAACCATCTTAAGCAATCCTAATAATTATCTCAAATTGAAGATTGCTTCAAATATCCGTAGTTTTCATGGCACAGATATAAACTAAACTATATTAGGACAAATTTCACAAACCTTAAATGTTTGTTTTTTTCTTAAAATAGCCATAACTGTTATTTTATTTATAAAAGACAAACAAGGGAAAATATCAACCAATTAAATTAACAAGTGAATCTACTTTGTTATTGACCCAAATCCCATGTTCCTGCTTACTCACGCAAGTCAGAAATTAGATTGCAAGAAAGTAACAAATATGGACCTCACAACAAAACTCTTTCACACGCCATATACCTTTTTGATGTACACATTGATTATGATGTAAGTGTAAAAATTTTTTTTTAAATAATAATAATGTGGATAATTATCAGATTCTCCAAACTTAAATGATTTGTTATAGTCATCAAATCAAGGTGCTATGCCATGGTTTTTCCTTCTTTTTTTTTTTTTTTTTCCGGTCGATATACGTTATGGGAATAAGTCAAATGATATTAGGTTATTGATACCTAATCTTTGAATTACGTTCACATGACGAAGTTTTTCTTTTAATATATATATATATATATATATATATAAATATACTCCTTCAATTCCAAAATTTTCATCAATATTAAAATATTCGTAGTAATTTAATGACTTAAATATAAAAAGTTCTTTATATAAAAATTAAATAATTATTCTTGGATCTATTGAAATAAATAACTAGAAAAAGATGTAAAATATTTTTGGTGTAACTTGATTCTTCTTCTTTTTAAAAAATATATTCATCTTTTTTGGGGCGAAAATCATGAAAAAAAAATTGAGTATAAAAGTCCTTTTCAAACCATTTTTGTTACTTTGTGTTTTTTTAATGAGGTGGTTAGACTATGTCAGCTTCCAAAAGCTAGCGTGTTGTTTGTGTTAAGTCACCTATTGCTGTATGATTTATTGAGAAAGTATTAAAATTTTTAATTTTAATGATCAAAATTCAATCTTAAATATATATATATATATATATATAATTGTATTATCTTAAGTCTTGAGGAAAAAAATAAATTAAGTTAGTAAGTTGAGTAGAATATACAAACATGTTCAATATGACTCCTGCTATTGGAATTAAAGTTGAGCAAAGAACATTTCAAAAAAGAAAAAAAAAAAAAAAGATCAAAGAAAATTATAACCAACAATTTAAACTCGAGTAAAATAATCAATGAGTTTGATTTTATTTGAATGATAATATTTTTTGAAATTTTAAATTACACGATCAAATTTTATTATATATTTAATTATTTAATTTAATTTTATATTAAATGTTTTTTATCGATGGATATCTTCGTAGATATCTTACGTATTAAAGCAAGTCTAAGTATTTGGATATGATGCATGCATGTTTAAAAATTTGATTCGACATATATCCTTGTTAACCATATAGAGGTTAAATGAGTAAGCAAGCTTTAATTGTATGTGTTGTGAGTCTCTTAATTACTAAAATTCAAATTTTAAATTGAATGCTAATAATATTATAACCCAATCATTGTATTATATGACTAAGAAAGGAAATATATATATATATTGAATTTAAAAGCATTTATGTCCTTGTCAAGCCATTTTTGCTTCCTTCTTTTTTAGTTAATCTGTTAGGTAATATTTTGAAGTCATCATAATTAGCCTACAATAATGTATTGTTAAGCATTTGTCTTAATCATTTACAGTAAAATGATTTATTAATAAAATATTAAAATTTAATTTCATTGATTAAATAGAGATTCAATTACAAAAAAAAATATTGTTTAAGTCAAGGGAAAAATTTAAATTAAGTTGGTAATGGGTGAGTAGAATATTATCCAAACATGTTGGATGTAACTCATAATATTAGAAATAAAATCCAAGAAAATTATAACGGATAATTTAAAATCAAGTAAAATTACAAATGAGTTTGGTTTTGTTTAAATGATAATAAGTACAATATTTTTTTAAAATTGGAAATTGCATGTTCAAGTTTCGCTCTATATTTAAATTTAATTCAATTTTTATGTTAAATATTTTGTTTAATTGATTAATTTATTCGAGGTTTTTTTAGGAGAACCTCCTTCTGATTTTAATTTGAAACGGGAGCAATAAAATCACAAGCATCTTCACCTATTTACATCTTTATTACTTCTACAAATATATCTTCGAATCTACAGTAATATTTCATGGTAACAAACATACCTGAACTGACAGCACACCATTTGTCTTTCGAGGTACAAATTTGCCTTCAATGCTGTCATCAGGGTTATGGAAGTTGAGATTTTGAAGGTCAACATCAGCATAAGCCTCGATGAAATCCACACCTCGATTGTTGCAGAGAAGCTCAGGCTCACCCATGGGGTTTGGGACAACCTCGCCAGCAAAAGCATAGTAGGACAGAAGAGCTTGAGCCAAGGCCTTCTTGAGGACACTAACCATGGAACCAAAAACCATGCTGGTAATTGGTTTCTTGTAACAGAAGAAAACACCAACATCAAGTGGTGGCAGAAGCAAGTCCAGATTGGTGAGTGGCAGCCAGTGCTCTTGAAATGGCACAGCTGCTGCTACCACTTCTTTCTTGCTCACAGTCACCATGAAATCTTCGTTGGCTGATCCCATTTCTGATGACTAAAATGAGAGAGAGAGAGAGAAGCTGGTAATTGATTGGCTTTGGTTTTGCAATTATAGATTATAGGAAGGAATTAATATATATAGAAAAAGGAGAATCAAATAATGGTCGTCTCACTCCCAATTTCTATTTTCAAAGAAAATGAAATAAAAGTATTATACTAATTAGAAGTCCACCGCATGTAATAAATTCATATATTTATACTCAATACACCTATATTATTGTTAAGGCTATCTTCAAAGTACTTTTGTACTTTTCTAACATATCCAATTAACCATAAATAAGAAAATTAGCATGCTAACAAAACACACAAAATAATTATTATATAATTATCGTAATAATTTATATATTGAAATTAAGAAAGTAATGTCCAATGACATAAATTTTATGATTAATTTATGAATTAAAATTTTTATAAAATACATGATTATATTACTTTTGCTTAAATATAATAGTGTGAGCAGGTTGGATTTTTTTGACTATCAAATAAAAAATTTCATTAAAAAAACAACAAGTACAACGAAAAAAATAATTTTTCCAAATAAAATTGAGCTTAGCTCTAAACAATCTAAAATTGTCATAAGAACTCATGAATATGATCAAATCCAATTATACAGCACACTCAAAAGGCATAGAGATGGCAATTTTATCTAATAAGTTGTGTCCATGTAACCATATAAGCAAGCTAGCAAAAACCCAGCTGTATATCTGGTCAATATTCCTAGTAAAAAAAGAAAAACTAGCCATGTATCTTTTATCTGGATGTCGAAGCAGCAGATAATGTAGGTCCAAACATGTAAATCAAAAAGACCTTCACCATACATGCATGTGCCCCAGAGCCAAACGATTCGTCAAAAAATGTCAATGACAATTGTTCTGTTAGGCTGTTACATCCCAGTATAGTATAGTACAGGCTATACATTTATATTATGCAAAAACAATTTAATTTTAAAATGTAGCTGAGAGACCACCTACACCTACACCCCCACCACCTTTTTCCTTCCTTAAATTTAATCTATCCAACTTTTTTTTTTTTTCTTTCAAAATAAGAAGATAAAAGTCGAAAATAAAAACAACATGAAATTCAAGATTTCATTTAGACCAAGCACAACTTACTGTAATTATAGACCAAAAGTTTAATGCCAAAACAGGGAAAATAGATAATGAGGAACGATAAAAGAATCAAATTTACATGTTAGGGCAAGAAACGATAAATAATTAAGTTGACCATACTTATCCTTGTCTTTCCCTGCAGTTTGCAGAGGTTTTATAGTCTAAACTAAAATGAGAGTATACTACAGAGGTTACTATTCATACGGGTAAATTTCATCTATGATTTTTAATCTTTTTATTTGTATATCCTTTTAGTTTTTAATTTTTGATCTTGTTTCATTTTCATCCTAGTATATAAATTTTGACCAAGCCTTTTCGCATCTTCATACGTAAACTAAATTAATTCAAGGTTTGAAACAGATTGGAAAGAGTCAACCAATAACTTGATTCAGTATGATTACTTTTTCTTTCTAATTAAATTTATGAAAATACATATATATCTATCAAATAATTAACAAAAGCTATATAATATTATTACAACAAATTTAAATAAGTAACTAGAAAGTAATTTATATTGTAAAAATTATAGATCATCACGTAACTTAAAATATACATAAAATACAACAAGAAAAACCTTAATTGTAGTTTTTATTTCTAGTAGTTCTACCGTTTCAATTTTGAACGGCTACTCTTTATGAACGTTACTTATATAATATATGGAAAATTTCGTATATTTTTTTGATTATTCAAACTTTGCTGAATGCAACTTACACATGATTCAAGGTCTCTTTGCTTATGAAATTAATTACCAACAAGTTTCCAGCAAGATGAAAGTGACTGAAGAAATTATATACTAGTCACCTTCGTAAACCTTCGTAAAAAAATATATATATATATATATTTAGATATATAGTTTATTAACAAGTGAATTCATGTACTATTAGAGTCACTATCTCCTATTAGTGATTTCACCTGAGATTGAAATGACAAATATTATGAAATGTTTTAAGGACATTTGTTCATTTTTTTTTTTTTAAATTATAATATGATGAAAATTTTTACATTAAACAAGAAGTCTCAAAACCACTAAAATTAAGTCGAGCCTTGTTAAGAATTTAGGTTCTTGTAACGCTTTTTCATATGACTAAAAGAGAAAAACCATATGCAATACTGTATAATAAAACCCAAACAACTAATTATCAATCTTTTATTTACTAATATATTGATCATCATCCCCACTTTTACGTTGCAAATGATGTCAAATTCATTGGTTTGTCGTTATCTTGAAACGCATTCAAGTCCGTGGGCCAGAATCTTAAAAGGAGATTTGGCATCTTTCACTCATACAATTGTTCAGGGACGGAAGCCTAAAGTTGTTCATTCGTGCTATAACTCTTATAAACAAAAATTACATGATATGAAATGGCATCAAGAGTTTTACGAACAAATTTCAACACTGCATCCAAAATAAAAGACAACATACCTATTTATCCACATTTTCTGTTAAACAAAAAATGAAACAGAACAATGACAAAAATACAAAGAAAATGAAGAAAAATAACTCCTATGAACATTGTTTGAATGTACATGTGTGCAGAAAGTACAACGAAAATATGCAGCAAAGAAATTTTGATCTTAAAATGTAATTCTAACCAAAAATTAAAGCTGGGAAACAAATAAAGTAAAAAAGATAAAGAATACCAAGCAAAGGAAAGTGAAAGTTTGAATAATAGTTACCTCATTTTGTCATAAACCTAATTTTCTATCCTTCCTCCTTATTTGCTTGAAAAACCCATTTACTAAAAAAAAAAAAAAAAGCTTTTCAAGTCAGAGTCAAATAAAAAAAATATATCACGAATTAATAAGTCATCCCTTAAAAATAATTTATCTAGTTAATTTCTTCAACAGAAAAGAAAAAATAAAAATCAAATCTCCATCCTCTCAAATTGAGCACCTACTTTCACTTCTCTCAGAATTGAGTCATTTAAAAAAACTTTTTTTTCTCCTTTTCTCTCTTCTTCCTCTTAAAAAAAAAAAAAAACAGAAACAAAAAAATCTCACAAAAAAAACAAAGAAAGAGCAAAACCATAAAGGAGAGAACAAAAAAAGGCTTGGCTCAAAAGAAAAAGAGTAAAAGAAAGGTGGGGATCCCAAAGTGAACACCTGTCTGTCAAAATTCACTTCTAACTAAACAAACCCTTAGAATTGGTAAGGATAATGACATTATTAACCCAGATATGAAAGTCATTTTTATAATTAATCTTTTATTTGATTTGTTTCAAAATTGAATCCAAAACTTCGAAAAGTAAATTTTAGATAGTGAGAATAACTTTAATATAATGTTATTGATAAGGTATCAAATAATATTATATACACGTAAAAAAATGTATACATATGTACTCATATTTTGATAATTATTTTGGGATGATATATTTGAAAAAATAAAAGATACAAGATGACTTCTTTTATTACATTAGAAAAATTGATAAAAAAAATTATTAGTTAGATTAATTTATTTTTTAGTATAGTTGTTTTGAGTTTAATTATAAAAATATATATATATATATATATATATATTATAAAGCCTATCATTATCTGCAGCTTTCTTCAAAAATATTATACATATTTCGTGAGCTAGCAAGCAAGAGAATGATACATTTGAAATATATATATATATATATATATATTATTAAAAGAAAAACTATCGAAATATAGGTTTTCGTGGTCCTTTTCATCTTTTCATTGCATTATAATTAAAAATCCAATTAACGACACTTGCAATAGAATAAATAGAATATGTAAAATTTTCTGCGATTAAATGACTAAAGATTTAATCGAATAACTTACTTGAAAATTTGAAATAAACAAAACTATATTTGGCAAGGTTTCTAACAATATTTTCAAAGTATATTTCATTTTATAGTATTTAAGTTTTTTTTTTTTTTTTTTTTTTTTTTTGCGATTTGCTACATTTATTTTCACTCACTTATCACTTATATTTTGCCTCCTATAATTTTAGAAATATTTTCAATAAAGATAAAAAAATTACTCTTTTTAGCTGAAAATTTGAGTTGAAATTTCAAATTAAGAGGAATGTGAACCTTGGTTTTATTATTTCTTATTTTCTTCTCAAGGAATTTGATATATTGTTAGAATTTTTAATTTCATAAACAAAATTAAAAATAATAAATATCATATTTTTTAATTAATTTTTTAATATACATATATGTTAACTTGTTAATCTTTTGTAACTCCACAAATGAAATCAAAAAATTTAAACATATTAATTTTTTTAATCAAGTTTTTTTAATATATTCTACGTATCATCTTATTAATTTCGTTTGTGAAGTTTTAAAATTTTATTGTTATTTGATTATCTTTTCTTTCTCATAGATTTTTTTTTATTATTTGGAGATTAGAATCAAAATCACTTTGATTTAATCCGTGATTAATTTGTATAAATTTAGCAACAACTAGCTTATTACGTTAGCTTTTATTACTCTCTAATCAAGTTCCAAAGTCCAACTTCTATTAAATTAAACCAATGAAACTTGTTTGTTCATCTCATGTAACATTGGCTATGATTGGCCTCTCTATGGCCAATAACTTGTGCATTAAAATGCCATTAGCTTGGCCGGCAAATTAAGACTCAGTTTTTTTTTATTTTTTTTTAAATTAAGTGGAATCAAAGTTGTTCAAAGTCATCCAACAACCACAATGCTCATTTGTTTATCGTTTCCTCACAATTTATTATGCTCTCTTATCGTTTCAGATCTCAATATTTGGATATTATAGTCGAATAAACCTTCCCCTTTCCATTTCATTCACAATACTTGATGGGACAGTAGACATCGAATTTTATTCGGATTTATTAGATTAATTTTTTCTATTAAGTTTTATTTATTAATATTTTTATTAATTAATAATTAAATATAATAATTAATAAAAACAAGAAAAAGAAACAGAAAAAAATAGAAAACTAGGGTGGCAGTGGTGCCTTGCATGGCACCATTGGCCACCTGCCCCTCTGGT